ATTCTCCTATTACTTCAATACCGTAATATCCCTGCCCTCCATATCTACAGAAGTAAAAGCATTAGAGCTTCAAACTGCGCAAAAGCATTGTCTACTACAATATTTGCTTTATTTCAAATGCTGGACGTCGTCATCACGGTCGTTGCATTTGCACCGGTAATTTCAAGCTGTCGAAGTGTACGTGTGACCCAAGCAGCAAGAAGCGTCCACCGTTACGTGTCCAGTATACCTATCATTATTACAATGGAAAACGCGTGGGTTTAAAATTTGGGATTAAATAAAATCTACTTCTCTACTCAGCCTTTCATCCCCTCAAATTGAGGCTCAGTGAGGCCATACCTCTATAATTCCCAACAACCCTCCCCTCCAGATCCAGGCACCCCACGTTTTATTTCGCATAATTTTTACTTGAAAGTTGAAATCCGCTTGTTACATCGAGATAAAATATGCAAATTCTGTAAATCCTCTATATTTCTGAGAATATATAATTGTCTTAACTGTCTCTCTATTTTGCGATTCAGTCCTGTGATAGATGGTTTTCAGCATGCACGGCCATACTTCCAGCTTCAACCAGACGGACCAATGTTTACGGCGCAGGAATTTGTTGCGACGCGTTTTGGTTCCACGAAAATTAAAAGTCACCAGGTGCCATCACTGGACAAATTCTGAGAAAAATTTCCTTCAAAAGTCAGAATCTTGCAATCAGAAACTTAGAAATCCTTCGGCCATTGCCCGAACAGAATTCATCTTTACAATTAACCAAAATTTTGAAGCTGAAGAAACAAAAAACTTTAAAAATAAAGCTTCTGGGGGAATATAACACGCACTTCGGGGAATATAACTCTTTTTGCAGGGCGTGGATGCTGGTCTTGGATATCACCCGTTCACGGCGCCGTCGCTTTATGCATATCTACAGCTTTTAATCTTTTTAAATGCACTGGCATGCTTAACAGATTGGTCAGAAAAACTGGAAGAGGAATTTGCCGAAACGACGCCAAATACAGATGTATGTTAAATCACATACGCTGTGATGAATATCCTCCTCTCCTCCTCTCAAATATAGCATTTATCAATTTTTGCAACCAAAAAACAGAGACAAAAAAAACCGGGTTGTGATCTGGCACTTTTCTTTGCTAAAAGGTGCAGTGGGATAGGAAGATGTAAAATCTACAAAAATGTTTCAAATTCTCAGCCAGAAATTTTATTTGACAGAATCTCTCAGATCGCAAAATTAGGGTACCGCGAAATTTTTTTCTTTCTGAAGAAATGAAAGATAGAACAATTATAAAATCAATCATAATTTTAGAACAATCATAATTTAGGAAACGAGAAAAGAGCAAAATGGAGCTGATGATCAGAATTCGGTACCGCAAAATCCGGACAACAACGCAGACGATGAATTACATGATGAATGTATGTGCTGAGGTTAAGAAAAATGCGTAAAACGTTTATTTTCACCAACAA